ACACACACACACACACACACACACACATACACACACTCACACTCACATACACACGCACACACATTCTCCTGTCTACTACTACTATTGATCGGGAGCGCCACCTGCTAGAAACTGGGTCCAGCGTCCCATGAACATCGTGAATAAAGCACCAACCGGGACCCCACACACACTCTTCGAGTTGTGTATAGCGAACACAACAAAACATACATATAGCATAATCACTACATTACCCTTCCCGAACCACATCAACAAACGAACTACAGGTTGCGCACCCGTGCCCTCACGGTAAATCAACGAGAATACCCAAATTCACCTTCCACTACCTACCTACCACTACTCCTAAGGCTATGTAAGGGACCCCTGCAAGCTTAGTTGTGTCATGGTGAAGGGGATATTGCATGTTGGCCTTTGCCTTTGTGATTTACGATGCAGGGTTAGTGCCGCCAGTGGGTTGACCCCAGCTAATGCAAAAACCAATTTAAGGCCAACACTCTCCCACACACCACACAAAACCCACTCACACTCACACTCACACCCTCCTGTCCAAAGACTCTGCTGATACCACAACGGGAATCAAGCTAACTATCTTTTCTGGTTGGTTCCAAGCCTGCTCCAGGCGGTCTTGATGATTGAACCCACGACCTCTTGAATGACACTTGCGTGCCTAACCCATTGAGCTAGGCTACTGGATGGCACAGATCATTGTAGAAGGTACAAGTCCGTGAGTTTCACTTGTTGGCTGTTTTGGGGAGTGGGGTCTTAGTGTGTTGCCATGTTGGATTTTTTAATTATTTTTTTGGGGCCTATCCGACGAAATACCCCAACTTTTTGGGTTATTTCAACATTTATTTTTCTTCTTTTTGGGACAATTTTTTAAATGCCCCTTAAAGTTGGGGTATTTCGTCAGATAGCCCTGAAAGGCATGGGTATGACGAAATGCCCCTATGACAGGCGTGAAACTTTGCAAAATGCCCATTCGCCAATCGGACCTGTCAACTTTCACATATACTCCTACCGTGCCCTGCGCAACTTGTCTATATACCCCAGTATTTCTGCCCGTTGGACCTTGCAGTTTGCAACAAAAATGCGTCGGACCCTGCATTTCAGGGTCAGGCCATATGGCAAAGTTGGTGATGACCGGGACTGGAGCCGATGCAGAAGTTTGGGGCATTTCGGTATCTGACGAAATACCCCAACTTTTAGGCTGTGTAGCACACCGAACATGTTTGGAGCTTTTCCGAACGTCCAAACATATTCGGGTGTTTGGCCGAACGCCACCCGAACGTGTTCGGCCGAACATATTCAAAAAAAAAAAAAAAAAAAAAAAAATTGGTTTTGGATTTTTAACTCGAGTTTGGTTACGAATCTGAGCATACCTCCAAGGCAAAAGTTGTTTATATTATTATTTTACATCACATATATTGTTTTCACAGTTTTTGAAGAAACTTTTTTTTTTTTTTTTTTTTTAATGTTCGGGTTCGGAGAGTTTCGGCGCTCGTGCACGTTCGGTCCCGAACATTCGGGTTCGGTCACCGAAACCGAACACGATGCTACACAGCTTTTAGGGTTATTTCAACAATTTTCCCTCGTTTGTGTTTTTGATGCAACTTCTTTCATTACACAATCGAAATATTGCAAAGAAGGCATATGGTGAACCAGGTGAAGTTGGTGATGAAGTTTGTGGCATTTCGATATACCCCTGTGTTTTAGGGTATTTGACGAAATGCCGCAACTTTTAGGGTTATTTGGACTTATTTCAACAAAATTTCAGAATGTTTGCCCTTTTTTTGAAATTGTTTTCGAAATGCCCCTGAAGTTCGCATTTATTTGTGATTTGCCCCTCTAACGGCCGACTTACCCTAATATGCCCCTGGGCCTCTGAGCTTTATTGCAGGCCCCTGTCAGTGAGGGGCACAACTTTTCGGAATGCCCCTACCGGACCGGCGGCCCTATTTCCCCTGCTGCCCGTCCTATTTGCTCTTCTGTGGGGCATGCATGTTCCTGAGATGCCCTCCAGCAGCGAGGCACTAAGAATTTGAATTCAAACCCTATACTTTTTCCAGGACGCCGCGCAAAAAAAAAGATTGCACTCCATGCTGTGGCCATTGCTGCAATCGACCGTGTAGTATATTCTTCAGCTACTGTGACCCACAACCGCCTTGGACGTCTGCGGCGTACGTTGGCGAAGGTCAGTGTTCCTCTCCTTGTTCCACGCCTCTCTCTCTCTCTCTCTCTCTCTCTCTCTCTCTCTCTCTC